TTTAGTAAAGCATGAATAAAAAACTGCTCATAAAAAGTATTATATTTTGGCAACTCTTAATAGCTCATTCCTTGATTATCTATAGGTACAGAAATTTTAATTTTAGCAAACACAACTTTTTTTTGTTAGGATTTTGGAAGGGTGGATCAGAGCAGCAGTGTGGAATCATGAGACGATTTCTGTTGAGCTGCCTATTTGCTGTGATGGCCAAGTGCCTTCACATCAGGTGAACTGAGAAACACTGATGTTCAAGAAAGCTTTCCGTCTGTTGTCTCTGCCAGATCAAAACAGCATGCAAATTCAGGGCAGAGTATCTGAACAGAAAGGAAGGTATATGGTCTATACCGGGCCCATGTCAGGTGAAGAGAATCATTCACTACAGCATGAAAGCTTGTTAAAAATGCAGTCAGGATAGTTATATTTGTCACAAGTGCAAAGCTATGCAGACTTGGGTATCGTACCAGCACTTGTACTGTGTATGCATACATTTCATGCAATGCAAGCATACATCCCATCCCTCTGACTGAAAAAACGCTATTCCCTTATCACCAAGAGCAAAATTATGTAAATGACATTACAGGCGGGGAAAGGGGGGAACACACAAATATCTTCCAAAAATTTCAACATTGTCTGTAAACTACTATGTCCCCAAGTATCACAGCCTCTGGATATATTGTTTTGAAATACTACGTGTCCCCTACACAATATTTAACAAAAAGCCATTGAGATTTGAGATTCTACTCTATATCAGGCCTGGAATTTCTCATCTATAATGTACTGACTCGTGGTTGTCCTGAGAGTCAGACTAGATACAAAGAGTCTCAAAGGATGAGCAAAAGGGAGGGGAAAAAAATCCCCAACCAAATACCTTCACATTTCAGGATACTACAGGATAAAAAAAAAGAATACCTTGTTTCAGAAGTGCTTTTGCAGTGCTTTGTTAGTGCCTGTTTGTGAATACTAACAACAATCATTTAGAATATCTTTTTGTAGAAAAAAAATCCGACAAGATAATACCAGTAGAAAAGTTAATGTCATTTGATCACTGCCATATTTTTAAAGCAGTGCCCAGATACTAATTAATCTCTACAATCTCTTCATTTGGTAGGTGACTTGTTATCGTCTTTTCATGGAAAAGGTTACAGGAACTCAAGATAAGGGATATATCTAAATGTTCAAAAGTACACGGTGAGTTTGTTCTAGAATTATCAAAAGGATTTCCTGTCCTTCTCTTAGACTAATACCCAATGTTGCTCTCCTCTTCCTCATAAAAGTTGATCAAACTATATATATATATCATACTTATACACATATAAATACACAGAGAAACAGAGAAAAATGTAGTAATTCAATAGGAGCAGAAGAGGAAAAAACCCCTTATTAATATCAGAATAAATATATAGTACAATAATATTCCAGTTGCTAACTGTGGAAGTAAGAAGAAACTTCTGCACTAAAAAACAAAACAGAGCAAAACTGTGAAAGTGAAGTATGAAAATGCTAAGACTAAGGCGAGGCATTGAAGGACAAACATTAAGTAAGTAAATGCAACAGAGCTGCCTGCCTGCCTGATCACTTTAGAGCAGCTCCCAGAAGGCTGAAGTAGAGTAGAGCTTCTGTGCAAGGGTTTGGAAATAAGAATTGATGGTAGAACAATTTCTTTACAACCCTTTGGAGACTGAAGAGCCAAAACAGGAGGGAAATGAGATCTAGGCCACTCATGAGATAGACCAATTTAATGGAATGCACAAGACGGCCCAAAATTGAGCCCTAGATTAAATTCCAAGTTACCTTCCCCATCAAAAGAGATCTGGAGAGGAAACAGAAATGAAGCAAGCTGTGTGTATCAAATGCAAAAACTCTTTCAGTCGGCATCTGCACATGCTGCCAGTCTCTAGCAATAAAATCTGCAAACCTGATGTAAAGCATGAAAATATGCACTTTAGTGCATAACTCAAAACAGACTTGGGTTTTCCATGCAAAATTTGAAGTGTCCTTTTACCTTGACTGCTTGGTACCAAAAATTTGAGGCTAAATGTCTGAACGGCTGTTTGCAATTCCACAGCAATTCAGAGGCGTGAGTTTGCTCCTGGCCGTCCTAAGCACTCCATGTCATGTTGACAGGGATTCCCCATGATGTGGGTTCATACACTGAGCAATAAAACTGACCTTCAGGGGTGGCCACACAGGCACAAACTGAGAATTACAGCAGCTTCGAAAAGGACCATGTATTCAACTGTCCTGATGACAGCAAGAGTCACGGTGGTACTTTATCAAGAAAGGCATGAAGAGTTTGTACCTTTACACCTCAAGGTTTTAGTTGGACAAGAAAATAAATGGCTAAAAAATTAAAAAAAAAAAACCAAACTACTCTAGCACATAATACTGTTAAGTTTTCAAGACTCTATAATTGAAACAGACTGGTTCTCAAAGTTTTGTTCACATATTTTCAAGTTAAGTATGTCTGCACTATAAAATAGTTGGCTTGTTTTTAGTTTTTTTTTTTTTTTCAGTATATAGAATGCCAGTATTCTGAACAAATATGAGCAATTTTTAAATATACAAAATGCAAGATTGCTTCAGAAAATACAGTAACTCTAAGTGAAAATGGGACTTCAGAGATGCCATGCATTGAGCACAGCGGCTTAATTACTTTAAAGCAAGTCCTTCCATACCTACACAAAACAGAGTATTGCTAATGACAATGACAGAAAATGATAACTACTCTCGTTTCCACTTTGAGTCATTTTTCTGTGGTTAATAAATTATATCCATAACAGTGTTAATAAGTTATGGTACGGTGTCACTGCATTAGTTTGCATTTATGATGAAGCACTTAATATGGCATTACCTATACCCGTGAAAGAACATAACACAGAGAGCCCTTCTCTGCTCTCAGAAGGATTTCCTATGCTGGCACTTTGATGGATCCCCTAAATAAATGCTGTCTCCTAACCTCTGCCTTGCTCTTACTTCTAAACTCTGCTGCAGGAGCACGTCATGGCAGGGCAATTCAAAAACTTTAATACCTTTAATAAAACACTGGCATACTTAAATCAGTGCCCTTTCCATAGGAATGATATACAAGGAGTTAGAGGTAAGGCAAATACAGGAAGTATTCTGATCAATTTACTCATATGAAAAGGACACTGTCAGATCAACTCATCTTCCCTCAAGCTCCCAGAGGAAAACAGGAAGACTTAGACTGACTGATGGACTCTTGATCAACTACTGTAAAAGCTTGCTTTTCCTAAAGTTAAGAATAAATAAATGTGCTTTAAGCTTAATACGATTTGGTTTTTAAAGAAAAAAGAAAAGCGGAAACTATTTAAATTCTTGCAACCCAACTATGGCAGCACCAGTGAAGATAGAGATGGCAACAGTAATAAGCAGACTTTTAACAACAGAAAGAAGCTCATGGCTTTAAGTATTCTTTTACAAATAAAGAAATACAAACCAGTAAACAAACTGTCCCAAATCAGAGTTCTGTAGTGTGGAGTTTTAGTCATCTCAAGCAGTAACTTGAAGAGCTGCTATTAAGAAAGATGTTTCTTTGTCCATTAAAGTTATTACATAAAAATTCAGTACAGTTTGGAAGAATTTTTTTAGAAGAATGCAATTAGTGAGCTGTCTCCTGTACCAGGATACTTTCTATAGTAAAGCATTCCTTTTAAAAGCTTTTTCCTGCTTCATATATACAGAAACTCCTTTGTGAAACACAAAGTTCAAATAGAAATGAGATATTCCACCTCAATAGAAATTATTTGCTTTCTATCAGTATCAAGTAAAAAGTAGCACTATTAGATTAAAATGGAGAAAAATCCCAAGTTATCTGCAGCCTCCATAAGCCAGCAGTGCAAAAGCTCACATGCTCTTACAGTAGGTACATACAAGATAACTTTATAGACATATTACTGGAATGGTTTGCAACCAGTGAAGATAATTTTGATTATTTCCACTTCAAAACTTCCTATATTGGAGCCACATCACTGAAAACAATCTAACCGTAGGGGAAAAAAAAAAAGTGATGGGAAACAAGTCTGCTAATCTCTTCATGAAAACTAGACAGAGGAGGAGAGTAGTCTCTTGTAGATTAACTGAAGTCTTTCAGAGACAAAGACACCAGTATTCTAAGCAAGAGAAATAAAATCCCTATAAAAATACCTTTATGTAATTTCTCTCCCTCCCTGCCACAACTAGCATCATTTATTTGTATATTGAATTCATCTCGACTGCACCACAATGAAATGCATTTTAAATATTAAAAGGTAAAAAAAATACCATGTTCCCACCACAGCATCATTGGACATCATACTGCATAGAAAAATGAGTCGTGCCTTTGCAGTAATTTGACAAAAGAAGAACAAAAAGAATGGCAAAAATAGAACAATACAACTAAGGCTTGAAGAATGCATTGGTTCAATATTTAGCAATGCATAAATTGAGGTCTCATTTTTGTTTAGGTATATTTTGATTAGAACTAATAAATGCCTGATTTTCCTTTGGTTCTTTGCAAAAACATATCACCCAAAGAGCTTTATTCTTTATTCCCTTCTCATATAGCATGCCAAAGACTGTCTCAGTTTACGAATTAGCATTTAAAACTACTGTAGGTTATCTAACAAGCATTCAGATTCAATAGTACTTTTGACAGCAGTAAGTAAAGAGCCTTTTAACATCTTGAACACATGTGCTTGAAAAAAGTAGTTGCATCAAAGCAGTTCAAAGACTACAGACAAAAACCAGTTAAAATCCAGTTTGCTGTGAGATGATTTTAGTGTGGTGTAAACAACCTTTCACGACTCCCCATGGGAAATGTTGTAAGACTATGTTCAAAATGAATCAGGCATATTTATAAAGATCATGAAGTGGTCAAATGCATTTGCATTTTTGGCAGATCCACTCCACGGGTACTACTTGCTACAGTCTGTAGAAATCTCAAATCTCACATCAGCGTTGCCTATAGTGCTTTATTATTTATTACATGTTATGCTAAGTACCTGCGAAAGGGGACATTCCTTGGCCAATGAACTCTGGTTCATATCTTTCAGTAAGTCCTTCAGAGCATTTCTTACTGTTGTGTGAGACCATTGTTCAGGAGGCAAGTCTTCTAGTTTAGGGCAACTATTTGAAACACAGATTAGAAAAGGGATTATTACAAGATTGCATCCTGCTGCAGAACATTCCTTTAAGACAGACAGATTTCATTTTGCGCATCAAGCAGATGCATCTGGAGATTGCTCTCGGTCTCCTGATTGTTCCGATTAGTTAATTACTTTATACAACACATCTGCTGTATTGATGCATGAATTATACATCAGCTGCATGTGGCGACTATTTTTTCATGTTACTTCTACCTTCCTGCTCTGATGCGCTTGGTAAAACAATTTAAGGTGTAATGCTTTCTCACGACTGATCATGAAAAGCATTAATATATTAACCATTTTTTCTTTTTTGTTGCCGTGAAATTTAAGAACCTAGATAGCAACAATAAGTGCGAGCAAGTCATTCTTTTACAAAATGCACACAGATGGTACTGTTCATGATATGCAAAAATATTTTTCTCTTAAGTAAACTTTATGTAAAATGCCTTCTTGTAATGCATCATTTAATTGACTAAAATGCAATATAGTTTTAATGAGATATCCAAAGAAAATCTATGTATCAGAGCTATAAAAGTTTTCTGCAATAGTATACTGTAAGTTAAAGAAGAATTAGAGTAACTAAAAAGGAATTTAGGCAAGCCTTTGTACCTTGAGCACAAAGCACAGTGGGAATTAAATACAAGCAATATTAACAGTTAAGAGCAGACAAGTAACAGTTCACATCCCAGAACTGGTATATGACTTACCTGTGTAACTGGATTTTCAGTGTGACCACATGATACACATCTTGCAGCATGTCTGCTACTGTAGCATCAGGGGCATCTGTCACATAGGAGAGTGGAACTGGATTCCACTTCCCAACCTGGATAAGCCCTGCAGGATTGTAATTTTCGGAGGGCAGGGGGAGTGGGCAAGAAGGGAAGGAAAAATTGAAAGAAAGTGATTTACCTAATTCCTAGGGGCAAAAGAAATATCTGATTTTAACAAGATCACCACCTTTGTTTCTGACCTCTTAAATCTGGCAAAACAAAAGAACACCCCCCTCCCCCTCCAAAAACCCCCACCCACACACCACCAAGGATAGGCCTTATCTATATTATGAAATTATACAAATGCATCGCAGTAGAGATTTTTTTTAATATGTACAGAAGCATATTTTCCTAAGTTCCCATGAATTCAATAGGACGAATTCAATAGGATATAATAGTTAGCATTCCTCTTAACAAAATAGTAAGAATTTTGCAATGCAAGAATTGTGCACAAAAAAATTACTTTGCAGTCTACAAAACCATCAGGAACAAAATAAAAGAAACAGAGCTGGATATTCAGTCATAAATGCAAGTTGACTCTCAACAGTCCATCTGCTCAAATATGCTTTACACTTCCTTGTGGATCCTCAGTGGAGCAGATTATTAAGGTCAATAAGCATACTAATGATTCAGTTGAAGTCTTTTTTCTTTAAAAAAAAAAAAAAAAAAAAAAAAGAAAAAAGAAAAAACCCAGGAATTTACCTCCACACTCCCCATGAACAAAATGTGCACTAACTAAATAAAAACACATCAAGGAAAAAAAATACAGACACAAAATCTGCAAGAAGTTTAAGAAGTAAAACCTGCATTGCATTCCAGAAAGAAATCCTGCCCCCCCCCCAAGATCCCACAAACAAACACAATTCATTGTACAATTTCATAATCTTATTTACCTTTTGCTTGGGCAGCAGAGCTGTGAGAATATCCAAGAGATAGCAATGCCATTTCAATCAGCTGGTTGAAAAGCATATCCTTCCTCACCAACACAAATTCTGCATGCTCCTCCTTAGAATCATACTCAATGGCATTTTCATAATGTTCCACTACACAGAAAACTGGAAGCATACTTCCTATTAAAAAAATTAAATTTAACATATTAAACTTGAGTTATAGTAGAGTAGGTGGGTCTGTACAGAGTTATGTAAATAAAACCTGTATGAACAGGCAGAGGAGGCATCAAGAATCATCACAAATATTTGATCAACATATTCCCCGAGTCCTTTCCCCTCACCCTCCCCAAAAAACAGAAAGTTCTACAAAACATACATCTCCCTGAAAGGCAGAAATGCAAATTCATCTCCCTTGATCAGATGCAGATTTAAAGAATTACCTTCTATAGAAATAACAAGGTTGACTGAAGAGAAGTTGATTCTCTCTGTCCTGCCTGATTTGTTGTGAGTAGCAGGCAGCATGTGAACCTAAATACATACTGCAGATGTCTTCACTGTAAGCCATTTCAGTACCAGCCACATAATTTTGTTTGTTAACATTAAAACTTTCTTAGTCCTGCCAAAAATATTTAATTGGTTTCAACATCAACAACAAATCACCTTGTGTGTTACATATTCACTCTGAAAAGAGTACACAAGGAAACAAGGCAAAAGTTAACACTAATTCGTGCTTCATTCACTGAGTGCAATTGAGCACTACTTTCACTCGCATCTTTAAGGAAAAAATAATGAATTCAGTGCCACTTTAAGAAGTGTACCTGCAGTTCAGGCTTATTTTTGTTGTTCTTGTTGCTGTTGTCTCCCGCATTTTACATCCCACAATGCTATTTTGGCATGCCTGAAAGTTAATTACTAGTTTCCAGTTTTGTAGCATCATATGGCAAACCCTTCCATACACTGCACAGAATATTAAGCAAGTAACCTTTTTTCTTTCCTTTTGCCTTTTTTTTTTTTAATTTATTTTTTTTCCTCTCCCTTTTGTTGACAGAGAGAGAAGTAACAAACGACCCAAGTTGGTTTAGGGACAAAGTCTCTCCCTGCAATCAGATTCCTGGACTTTATGAAAATCCCTCCCAGCCTCCCAGACGGACACGGATGATACAATGACCTGTGGTTTTAAGCTCCAATCCTGTTCTGCTGTCTCCAGCAGCACAGGTTAGGATCTCTTAATGACAGAAAGGAGAAGGGTTAAAAGGAGATGTACAGAACCGTCTTATGGCAGCCTGCCAGAGGGGGTATCATCTTTAGCATAAATGATGACAAGGGTTATTTTAACAGGGCACCCAGGAACTCCAATTAGTCCTACAATGTTAATGCCTCTATAACCACTGCCCTCTATACTTGCAGAAACCTCCTAACCTGCTAAGGTGCACCAGACATACTGTAGTCTAAAAGGAAGCTTTACTCTTGACAATAGAGCAAGACCATGTCTGCTGATTTGTGCTCTAACGTACAGTAAGAAATCATGATAGAAAAGATACCTCTTAAGCACGTATATTTAAACTACATCTGTTCACCAGAGAGCCAATCTCTGGCAAACAAACCCCTTCAGGCTTGCAAGGAAAAGCTCACAAACTCACTCCAGTTTGCCCGATAGGCTCAGCATGAAAGACTGAAACACAAGAGCAAAAGCTTGCCAATATTTATGTAGTGCAGGATTTTTTTTCCTCTTTCTAATTTTTTTTTTTTTCTGTAATCTGAGTGAGACTGGCCAGGAAGGGAGAGAAGACCAAAGCAAAAGCATTACATGCAAAATGGTGTTTATTTCACTGGTTTTAAATAAGCTGTGGACACACACGATTCATCTGCAAAAAGGTGGTGGTTTGGTTTTTGGGTTTTTTCTCCCTTTCAGGCTCTCACAATTGATGTTTCACCTACTACCATCTGACTCAGAGTAAGGGCTCAAAATTCTTAAGTAGTTTCACCAGTACTTCCTGAAGATAAAGTGTAAGCAAAGCCTCATTCTAACACACAGTGCAGATACATCCTAAACCAGCTAAAGCATATTTGTTTTTCCCCTTATCAGCTCCTACAAATTAAGCTATGATCAGACACAACACACAGGTACTTTGCTGCTTATCAGCACCTTTTTTTGCTAAGTACATGGTTTCTTCAGTTGCAGCATTTTGGGAAATGTAGTACTTTAAACAACACAGGAGAGCCTCCTGGCAAAATTTTGAGGCACAGCATAACAGAGGTGGATCCCGGCAGTGCGACACAGGTATCATCTGACTACAAATCAAGCCACTAAATCTTTTAGCAAACTGTCACTAGTGTCCTTCTGTTAATGTGAAAAATGTTATACAGGAGAGCACAATCTCAGCTGGCTGATCACTCCTGCTAGTCACTTGGCAAGACCTCCAAGTGCAGCAACTTCATAACCTTCTAGTATTAAAGGGGAGAGCATTGGTCAGTGCTCTCTGCTAAAAATACAGCATGATTTAAACCTGAAGGCAGTGTTAGAGCTTTTGCTGAAGGTTTACGAGTCTGTGTAAACAGCACGTCTGCCATAAGGAGCACTGAAGTCTGTAGAATCCTTGTCTAAAACTGTCCTGGCATTAAAGTTTGCTGTGCAAATATCACATAATACCAGAGACAGCTGAAATCTCCTATTTAGGAATTTATGGAACTTATATGTTTGCAGGCGTCAGAAAGTCCTTTTTATACAGCCCCACTGCTTCACTGTACAATGTTAATGCACTCTGCTTGAAAAGCCGTAATAAATTATATTTTTAATGCTCTTACCCTGGCTTTCTTAAGATGCATACATTCTTGGCAAACAATCAATAAATAGGGTAATCATGAGCAGAGGCCAAAGAATTTGCTGAAGTGCTGTTTTTCCATTTTTAATAGATAAAGATCTAACAATACGGACTGCTGTGTCTGTTCATTTCAGGATCAATATATTCTTTGTTTTCGCCAAACCGAGGAAAAAATAAATGATTGTACAATAAATGTTATGCATCAGACACAATGAAATTCCTCTGCCTTCTAACTTTGTGCGTTTAATAGTCTTGGTTGCATTTTGCACTTTGCTTAGCAAATACAAGAAAAATCTGGATTATAAACATAACTGATTATACTAGGAAAAGTAGAGGCTGTTTTAAGATATACGCCAAATTGCATGCAGCATATTTAGATTTAAATTAGAAGCCTGCAGGACATGGTCAAAAAGACTTACAAATTTTGATAAGTAAAATTTGCATATTATTGTCCATTAAAAGTATTTTCAATGCAAACAAAAGCCATCCATATACAAACATCAGTGATTCTAAATGTGCCTTTTCCTTGTGTAAATGTCTAATTACAGCAAACCAGCCACTGAAAAATATGACACCCAAGTTGTTCATTGTTCAATAATGAATTGTACTTAAGAAAATAAACTGCGAAGATTGACATCATAAATGACTTTTCCAATGTGATACCTAAAGATTTACACTCTCTTCTTTAAACCAACTTGCAACTGCTATGGAAATACTGCTGCCCTTCCAATCATAGGACCATCATTAGGAGGAAAGGCGAGAATTTGTTTTGGAGGTTCAGTATTTACTCTTACATATTTTTCCGTTTCTTAGCCCAGCACTTACTCAAAGAATTAATGCATCAAATTACTTATATTTCAATATAAGAATTTGCTTTAATCACAGCAGCTAGCCTTTACCTTAACAAAAATCAGACTCCACCCTGAAAAGCAAGATGCTCCACCCAAGAAGGAACCTTACATTTCCCAAATGTGATTTATATCAGAATTGGGAATATATAATATTTTAGAATAGAGATTTTAACCCTGAAATATAAATGAAGTAGAGACTGCAAAAGTATGCTTCCCCCCAAATATTATTAATCATATTTCTCTAATGCAGAATTATCAAAAGCGTTACCTTTTCTAATATTAGTTTTCATCAGGTGTCCAGAGTGTTTTAAAGGCACTCCTTGCATTTTAGTTCCTGTACTTCCAAGTCTTCCTCTTCCTAATGGGCTCCCATTCTGTTCCAAGCGCGCAATTTTGGCTGGTGGACCCTTCGGATCGCTTACATTGTTAGACATTTCTGAATGTTCTTTCCCCTGAGTTGCCTCGTTCAAATGATCCATACTCAGTCCCGCCTCTAAAGATCACCTGCCATGATTAAAAAAAAAAAAATATATATGTTGTACACGTGTGCGCATATGTATACGTACACAGCCTGCACATGTACAGAGACAGATATATATGTATCACAAGCTTATAAAGAAGAATAGATAACTACTTTAACTAGAAAGAAATGCCTTTTTTAAAAGAAACAAACTTATTCTTCAAAAATTACCTCATACCCCAGTTTACAGAGAGATTGTATCATAATCTAGTGGAATGGTTTTTTAAAAGCCAACCTGAGTACCTCTTAAAAAAAATTTAAAAAATCTTTGGAGATATTCTACTAAAGCTGAGAGAGTATAAAACCCATATAAGTAATGATGATTGTCAAGGTGTGTGCTCCAAGACATGTATTGTTACAAATCTCACAGAAAGGTTTGTTATTAATCGCGGATGTTTTTATTGTGGAGAGAGAGAGAAAGACTCTAATGAAAAATTTCTTGATCTATTTGATTATAAAATGGACGAGCAACAATAGAGAGATTGTTAAAACTTTAGTTGAAGGAGCAACAGATTTATCAGGGATTTAGACTATTGTCCATTTACAATTCCTCTCTCCCTTAAAAACAGAAGTTAGAAAAGAATTTGATTTTTAACTTCAGAAAGCAGTGGCGGGAGATGGTTGCTTTTGAGTTTCCTAAACAATATTATACAGACTTCATCAACTTTTGCAAGGTTCAAAATATGAAATTTTTCAGATATTAAGTTTCAAGTGTTAAACAGAGTAGTTTATTCAATTAAGATAAACTAAATAGTTTCTCACCAAACATAAAGCTGGGGGGAAATTCTCCACAATTTCTAGAGTACTTTTGATGCCCTTAAATATAAAAAACCCCAAAACCTGGGTGATGCTGACACAGCTATTTGAAACCAAAAAACCAGAATTTCAATAGCAAATTAAGAAAAGGTATATATGCCTTTATAGGTATAGCATGCTTGTACTTCCCTTTTTATAAACTTTTGAAACCTCTGTCCATGAATAACAATTATAGTTAAATCACTAAAAATCTCCCAAGCCTACAACATAACAGAATAAGTTTTGAGGATTTTTGCCACTCATCAGAACCTGCTTTTCAACTATGTTAAAAAGCCTTCCTGAGAGCAAAGGCATCTTTCTGGTTATGATTTCACTAATCAATACTGTTGTGATTGTTATGTATTTTATCTACCTTTCCCTGACAGGGAAAGGTAGAACTATAGAGACAATTATGTTTTATATATATAAATAATATAATCACTAAGGACAGGTCAACAGACATTAATCTTTGAACTAGTATTTACATTTGCAAGTACAAACAGTAATACTGGGGAAGTCATATTTAGAAAGACTGGTGTGAATCGGATAATTAATACTTTTCTTTCAGTTGCCTAATAATTCAATACATTTTCTGCACATTTCATAGCCAAGTTATTAGAGCCTAAATATCTAGGAATCTTTATATATATACACTTCTATGTCGCTAGTATACATGCCAGTGATAATTTTGTAGACTATTTTTTTCTTTTTGAACATCACGCTGTTTTCCCCGACTCAGTGAAGAAAAAGGCAATGTATTAATTCGAACCTTTACAAGCAACCTCATGAATGCAAGCAAACAGATGAAGTTCAGACAATCATTATTTTTCCTTATACTGTTAGGTGACAGGCTAAGGTTCACCATTCATCTTTATCCCATCTGTTTTAGGTCATGCGTCTCATTAACAGTAAACATGCCTATTTTAGCCACTTTTCAAAAAGAAATTTTTAAACTGTGGTAAGTGTAACCTAAGCAAAGAATTACAGACTCAAACTGTTAACATCTTCCGATGTTTCTAACAACGCTAACAGACCATAGGGCTGCTATTCTGAGACTGGAGTACCTCAAGAAAAAGAGGATTAACCAAAAAAAAAAAAAAAAAAAGAAATTGAAAAAAAAGGGGTATGTGGAGTAAAAGAAAACACACACAAAAAAAGCTTAGAAAAAGAAATTCCTCATCACTTTTGGCAACTTCAGAAGTACTCTAAGGCAGGAAGGTTCTTTGCTACAAAAAGTATCTAGTCATCATGAGTCAGAATCGCACTACATCATGTACAGTGAATAAAAGTGATAGATCGCCACTTAGTTAATACACTGACTGCAACCCAAACACCAAATGGGTCATTTTCGCTTGGCCTGAGAATACCCACCCATCGGCATCCTTTCACCGCTTAGTCATCTTGTAAAAAGCTTTATGTTACAAAGCAAAATTACATGCACATAAAACACCTAATTTACTCATTTAAACTCCATGCCCAAGGCTAAAGTTCACTGAAACCTCAGTTTGGAATAGTGATGAGCAACAACCAGCATGGCCTGCCCAGGGAGAGGGTGGCAGGAAAGACCTATCATCTCCACCGGTTCCAGGCCAGGAGTTTCCCCGGGTTTCGCATTTAGGCATCTTTCACAACTACAAGTTTTCATCACAGATCAGTGAGAGAAGAGCACAATTTCAAGGCACAGTTTCCCGGAGCCAGCGTACACGTACAGGCACACCGCGCAATTTCTGAATGAGAGTCGGTGCCGTATTTCCTTTTGTCGCGATGTAATGCTGCCGGTATTATATTATTTCTTTCTCTCCTCCTGAATCAGCCCCCTCCCCATGCCTTTCCCCTCCTCTTCCCTCCCTCCCCCATAAAAACCCATAATCACATTTGAGAGAGGCTCCGCACTTATCCGTTCCATATGGCTCTCACAATCCAGGCCAAGCTTTCCCTGTGACCTTTTAAAGAGACAAAGAAGCAAAGTACTTATCTAGAAACAGAAACACTGCAGTTTTCTGAGTGAAATTAGCAAAACCGACCCGAAACTCACCACTTCAAAACTTGACAGCATATAAATAACAAAAACAAAGGAGGTTTCCTTTGCAGCCCGAGCTCTTGAAGAGGAAGAAGTTCAAGACTGATGTTTTTAGGTCCCCCCCTTTCTGACGGGGGGTGGGATATTCTCTTATTTTTTTCTTTTTTTTTCTTGTTGCTATTTTCCTCTAGGCGGGGAGGGGCAAAAACAGATAGCGAGAAACAGAGTAGCCATGAGCAAAAATGGCAATGGACAAAAAAAAAAATAGAGATTAAATATCTTTTGAGAGAGCCAGTTTTCGAGGTTTAGCAACGGAAGACAGAGCTGCAGATCAAATTGATCAGACAAGTGTAACGCTCAAAACGAGGAATTAATAATAATAATAATAAAAAATAAGCAGCAGGTTTAAATTAAGGTGGAGGGTGATTTAAGTCTAGCTATCCTTTCAAAAATAAAACCAATGCATAAAGGATCAAGTGAGAAAGGGGGTTATTTAAAAAAAAAAAGCAAAGAAAAAAAAAAGGCAGCTTTTCTATCCAGTGTGAAGAGCAGAAAGTCTACTTCTAGGTTGTCACTTACACTATTATTCTCCAATAGGCACCCAGAGGAGCAGCACACACAGAAGGAGTCCGCTCCCCTCCCCCTCCGCAAAAATATACACCGTAACAGCCCCCAAACTTTCTGCGGAAACCTCAGCCCCAGAGATCGCTAGTGGAGATAAAAAGAGAAAAAAAAAAGTGGAGAGAAAATTGCAGGAAAAGGCACTAAAATGCCACTTTTAATCTCGCCTCTGCGGTCCGGAGAGGGAGGAAGAAAAAAAAAAAAAAAAAAAGAAAAAAAAAAAAAAGAAGAAAAAAAAAAGCAGAGAGGACCTGTCTCCTCTCATTTACCGGGGGCTGTTGTGCGAGTGACGGGGGGAGAGAGGGAGCGAGAGAGGAGGGGAGAGAGAAAAAGAACAGAGGGGAGGAAGGAAACACACAACAAGGCACACCACCACCACTACAAAAAAGTGACGAGGTTTCACTCCCTCCGAGTCCAACACCGGGAGAAATTATAATTTAAAAAATCCCCGATCCTGTTAGGAAAAAAAAAAATAAAGAAAGAAAGAAAGAAAGAAAGAAAGAAAGAAAAAAGGAAAAAAAAAAGAAAACCAACAACAAAAAAACTGGTTCTGCTTCTGCAAAGAAAAGAAAAAAAAGCAAAATCTGGGAACTCCGAGAAGAGTTACTCACAAGAAGGGGTAAAAAATATAAAATAGAAAGGTTGCAAAAAGCCAACAACAACAAAAACCAAGCCAGCAAAAAAAAAAAAAAAACAGTAACAATTGAAAAAGAATAATAATGGTAGGCTTTGTATTTTGTCTTTTTTTTTTTTTTTTTTTTTTTTTTTTTTTTTTTTTTTTAATTCTCGTTTCCCCTGGCTGGCTGGGTATGGTTGTTATTTAGGCCGGTTTGGTGGTTGTTGCTGGATGTTACATGGATATGTGTGTGTGTGTATGTGTGTGTGTCCCCGGACGGAGCTGCCTCGCTCTGCTCTGCTCCCCCCCCTCCTCTCTCTCTCCCTCTCTGTTTCTGTCCCCATTAAATTATTAGTTGACTCATCACTACTCCTCCTCCTCCTGCTGCTGCCGCCGCCGTCCCCTGCTCACAGCCTCCTCTCCTCCTCTCCGCTACCGCTCGCTGCCGCTGCTGCCGCTGCTTCTTCTTCCTCCTCCTCATTTTAATACAAAATAACACCGAGGCCACCGGCTTTTTTTTTTTTTTTTTTTTTTTTTTTTTTTTTTCTATCCCACAGCCGGAGACGGGAGGAGGACGCAGCCTCCCTGCTGCTGCCCGGAGCCCTTCCCCAGCGGCCCCGGATCATCCGACGCGTCCTGGGAGAGAGAGAGAAAGTGGCAGAGGAGGAGGAGGATGAGGAGGAGGAGGAGGAGGAGGTGGTGGTGGTGAAGGGGGGAAGAGGGCGTGCGGCTTCCGGGCGCGCACGAATTTGCAGCTCGCTGGGTGCGGGTGAGGCGGCCCTGCCTGCGCCGCGCACAATGCCCGCTCCGCGCCGCCCCGCGCCACAGCGCGCCCCCCCGGCAGATGGGGCCTGCGGTGGAGGGGGCGAGCCGGGGGGCACGGGCACGGGGGCACAGCAGCGGCACCCGCAGCAGCAGGAGGAGGAGGAGGAAGAAGAAGGGCGGCGGTGAAGGCTGAACAATATCCTGCCGGCGCTGCCGCGCTAGCGCGGCCCCCGCCCCTCCGCGCGGAGCCTGCGCGGGCCGCGCCGGGCAGGTGCACGGCGGCGGCCTCCCCCCTTGGCCCGCAGGTGGGGGCGCGCCGCGGGGGCCGCCCCGGGGAGCCAGCGGCCCCTGTGGGGGAAAGAAGTTTCTCCTTCCCTCCCCTTGCCTTCGATACCGACAAGGGTGAAGGAACACCACCAGCCGTGGTTCTGAAAGGCGGCCGAGGCTGAGTGAAACCGGCCTCGTTCCGCGGAGGGTATCATCCACCGCGGCTCTGGTGGCTCCGGTGGGCGCCGCGGCCAAGCACAGCAAGCTGCAACACACCGTGGGTGAGAGCGATACATCGCCCCGGGCTCGGGACGGCGAGATGCCACATCCCCACGCCACAAAACTGTCCCTGTGTCAAGTCCGCAGCGCGGGACCGAAAGCCACCCCTGAAAGGTGAAAGCTAAAAGGTGGTCAAGTATTGACAAAATAAGTAACTGCGAGACAGACATGGCTTTTTCCCATGATGCACTTGGAAGAAAGTAACCCAACTAGACAAACTTGAAAGCAACAAGTTTGTACAAGCTGCGAGATAAGGGAAAAATTAAACTTCTTTATTGATAAAATGCATGGTGTTTGAATAGACTATGTCTAAAGGGGAAATTGCATCATCAGCCAAAGAAAACATGAATTACTGCATAGACAGGTATATAACCAAAATGTTTAGGGTAGTAATTTTAAAACAACCGACAACAAAGCAACAACAAAATACAAACATGAGGCAGCAGCAAAAGTAGGTGAGTGAGAAGGCTAATACCAGTCCTGTAATACACAAAATAGTAAGGCCTCTGAACACAGAAAAGGCAAATCATTAAATATATACAGAAAAAATTTTGCACTACGCATATATTACTTATTATTAAAGAAGAGGAATACATTAAGACAAGGTAAAGAATCACATTGATGTTTACTAAAATAAGCACAAACAGTATATAGGACATGCAGGGGAAAAAATGGTAATAGGGCGAAATGCATGAAATATTTATCATATTCTGCAGTGCATAAAATAGATTATAATCTCAGAAGCAAAGAAATGCAAGGCTGGAAAATGAATACACTGTTACATAATACTATTATTCAAAGCACAGCAAGTGGAGGTGGCATATGTATGAAACATGAAAAGTTGTACCTATGTTGTGTGTCTTGAAAAGGCTTACTAAGATCATTACTGAGACTGCTGAAAAGGAAAAATAAAAACCAAAACCCAAAACCAAAGAAACATGTTTCACAAAGAAAAACAAGGGAAAATGTATATGACATCTTCCATAACAAATGATCAAGGGGTAACTGTCTAGCGAGTTGTTTGTTTAGAAACCAATCTTTTTTCAACAAGATAGAGTTCAATCAGTCCCTCTTAAAAAAAAAAGAATATATATATATATTTCCAATATATTTGAATACTTGGAGGAAAACTATATTGACTAATTCAAAATTTGTGGGCACAATGGAAAATATCAGTGTAAAATATCTTTTCAACCTTTTCAAAAAAGCCTGATAAGGTAAACTTAAAACTTCAGCAGTAAGCAAGACAGGCCACTAAAGAAGAAAATAATGAAGGATAGGCGAGTTTCAGCTGGGAGTATGCTGCCTGCAGCATGATGGAGGAAAAGGACACTGAAGATAATTTAAGAGATGCAGAGCTGATTAGAATAGAGCAAATATGATCTGGAACAAGATTTGGGACTAAAATACCACCTTATAAAAATGATTACCAGATATGACAATAACGAAAACAAATAACAACAACAAAAGATTAAAATCTTCCAAAATAACTTTTGCTTTGGTGTTCACAAATCATTCTGTTCCTGGTTTAAAAAAAAAAACAAACAAAAAACAAAACAACAAAAACAAAAAACCAAAGAAACAACACAATGTTTGGATTAAAACACAGTGATTATTCTAAAAAGCAGAGATGGTGAATTAAAGGAGCAGGGAGATAACAATCTGATAATGCAGGAGCACAGAAGGCCTAATAATGATATTATTACGCACATAACCAAACACTGACAAACAAATATTCTGTTAATTATATAATTGTGCATATGCTTCCTATGCTTGAGATAAATGATTATGGAAAAGAACTCTCTTCTTGAAATTGCATATATGCACTAAACCTTATAAACTCTCTACCACATGGATTAATCTAATTCCCATACACCACTTATGCCTGGTAAAGTATTTACTACAGACTTGGAAAGCTGAGCGTGAAACCCCTGCTTTGACTAGAAAGCACGAATTACTGAAGGCTGCTACGTCTTGACAGATAGACAACAATCAGATATCTCTTATCAATACCGAACTACTTGGAAATAATTCAAGATACAGATATCTGATTTTCATTTGACCTATTCCAATTTGCACTTCACTGTGTCAACTTTGATATTAAAATGTTCAGCTAGAATAAAGATATTTATAATAAAAACATATATAAAGAAGAAGATGAATAGATATTGTCATGGATACATATGCAGGCAATCATTTAAACACGCGGCAATAGTAACATCACATTTTTCATAGCTTCTAGTCAACATACAGCAGGCAAATATATGCTTAATAAAGGTTATTAATCCTTAATAAAGTTGTTGTACTGTTTTTATTATATATAAATGCATTTTGCCCTAGCTTATGTTGAAATAAGACAAATATTTAAAAAGTTGGGCTGCGTATTTTCAACCCCACGGTGAATTAACTCTCAAGCAGTGGTCTCAGTAGTTGCAAAGCAAAACAAATTCTCCAGTGTGGCATTCTGCTTCAGTGCCTCCTAAGGTCTCTGTTCCAATACTTTCTTGTTCAAAATAAATTAGGAAATATGGGCCCAAATCTTGAGGCTTGGCTCTTGTGCAATGCAAA